ATTAAGGTTTAGAGTTCTACTTATAAAGGATTAGTGACACTTTACACACATGGATCTTTTTCACAATTTACAACATGTTAACTTGAACTGAGTATGTGTGTAGGTTTACTGATCATCGATTATGCTTGTGAATACTGTCAACTGCATATTTTAAGCCATTGTATATTGATGTTAAAATTATTTTTTTGACATTGATCTTTTCATCATTTGTGACAAAAATGAGGACAGAACTGCATGTTAGGGGGAACGAAATGACTGATTGATTAGAGTTTGTAGTAAGGAGAGATTAATTAGTTTCATTGCTTTCCACATCATAATGCATACTTGCTTGAGCTTTTGATGTTTTGTAATATTAATGTCTCGGTTGGTATTTTGATTGACCTTAGTATCACTTCCCATTCTTGCCTGCTTATTTATGATCATGTGCCTATATTGCTATATTTCCTGTATCACGTGCTTTTACACTTGGTATTTGAATTGTTGATGTGAGGAAGTAGGTGTAACAAAGGAATGCAGGAAACAAAGCTTGGGTAGATTAGATTTTTGTATTTTTACTACCTTGACTTTAATTTTATAATTTTGTTATGGAAAGCCAATGGGAGAGTTTGTTAGGTTTTATGTAATTGACAATTATGTGAACAAGAGGATTGAAATAAATATATTGTAAAAAGTCAAGGAATTAGTTTCAATATTATAGTTGAGTTAGGTAAGTTAGGGTTCGAGTTTGGATTAAGGAAAGAAGAGATGCTGCAATTTTGCTAATGTATCACCTGGACGTTGCTCGAGCAACAAAAAATAGAAACCCTGTCGCTTGCCCGTCTCTAGCTTTTCGCTCGAGTGACAGTGTTACGCATAATACCCTACTTCGCGCTTTTGAAGAATTTTACATGGCCCAAACTACCTAATTGTCCTCAACTATAAATAACTCAATGCCTTGCATGAAATTTGGGGGTGGTTGTTAATTGCGCTTTTTCTCTATAAGAGATTCATAATATTCTTTGAAGATCTAAGAGCTTGTTCATGTATTGAATCATTCCACTTACTCTTGAGATTATACAATCATAGATTAGGGGAAAAACATCGAATCCATTGAATCTCAAACACATACTTCTTAACCATCCTTAGAAAGGTACTTTCTCAATTGAACTTATGAGATTGCTGAAGATTGAGAGGGGTTGGATTACAAATGCAGGAAAGTACAAAAATTTGGTCATTCTTGGTGATCCACTTAGAAGAGGCAATTGTTGGAGATCGAGAGTTAGTAGTTTCGGCAGGATCTTGGAGGTTACAGAAAGTAGATCGGGAAGTCTAGTGGAGTTGGCTAGACAACATCTAACTGTGAATTCATATTATTTACCAAGTTGGGTTTCTCCATCAACAATATTAGTGTTCTTTATTGCTTTCACACTTATTGTTGGTGGCATTCAAACCATAGGATAAATTGAACTATTTGATTAACCATCTAAAAACAATTAAAAAAATGGCTTGTTGCTTTTGATTGTGTTAATTCCATACATAAGATCAAACTAAATCGGTAATCTAGATCTTTTCAAAAAGTTACAAATTTAAAAGATTTAACACTAGAATAAAGTATTAAAAACTAAAATTTAAAGTAAAACACAACATAAACTAAGATAATAACTTATTATTTTGATAGATCATTTTCATATCTTTCAACACCATAAAAATATTGACCGAAAGGACTAAAGGTACTTTGAAAAACTTGGTTCTGCTGTTGAACACTTTTTTGCATAATTCTTGTTTGTTCATTTTGGAAAAAACTCTTGTAATGATAATGATAATAGAATATGTAACTAAACAATTTTTAAAATAACTTAGTTTTTGAAAAATAAAAAAAATATGGAAAGAAAGAGAATATTATTAATGTAATATTTGGTGTAATGTTAAGAAATTGCACTATTTAAGTGAAATTAGTTGGAATGGTCGATTGATTGAGAGAGATATTATAATCCAAATCAGAATTGAAATTACTTTGTTGAAAGCGAAACAACTCTGATATCTCTTTGTTGATAATTTTATCAAATAATTAAAGAATAAGAAAATATGGGCAATATGAAAATAATGGATCATGCAACAAACAAGATTTTTATGGAAAAGAGGAGAATTTATTACACCAAGAAACTAAAATCGTCTTTACAAGATTTATTTTTCTCAGTCTAAATCTAAACAATTTTTTCAAGTTTATAATTTATTCAACAATGATCTAATTATTATGCTAAATCTTTCTGGACGAGTCTCAAACTCAATCAAATAAATACGTGTAATACCTCACATATTTATAATACATGACTCTCTAACATACTAGAAGAATTTATACGTCCAGAGTTTAATATAAGATAAAGTCTCAATATAATGGGTAAAACCAATAATGGAATATTTGAGATGAAATATGAGTAAAAAACTGCCAAAAAGGGGGAATCATTTTTGTTGTCCTTCTTAAACTCCTTCGATTTCTTCAGGTCTACAATCAACTCACAATAGTACTCCAACAATATTTCCAATTAAAATACTTATTAGAATTTGAGTCACAATCCAATTCTAACAAACTACACCTTGACGCGAATTCCACTATAAAGAATAAAGCCCCTGTTCCGGCTTGGGGACATGGTTGAAGCATGTGGTACCCCCTATTGGAGAGGCGTTTGCAAGGGCAGGCATCCCTCTAACAAGGGGGCGCCATGTGGCAACCCTATCTCCAAGCCGGGGACAGAGAGCAGGGTTGAAAACTTAAATATTCAATATACTCCAAAATTAATTATTCAAGTAGATCACTCTAAAAAATTACTTTACCTCTTCCATTATGCCCTTTATAGGCATACCATGCCCTTGTCAGGTGTATTCACCAACTGTGAACTAAATCCAAGCCTTGCTTACCATCAAAACTACCTTGCGCGTCAACCTTGCTTGAATTATCTCGTTCACTTCCAGCTTCAGTCAAGTCACCAAAATTGTTCGAATCACCACGAGCATTTCCTACTCCACCTGAGTTGTTAAACCTGCTCAAATCACCATAAATAAGATCACAACTAGCTTCACCTGAGCTATTGGAAGATTTCACAATATTATTGTTCCGATCACAGTCGACTCTACCTAAGCCATCACTAATCAAACAAAAAGCTGCAGTTGCATCCACAGTGACAGTCAGACCTTCTAACACATATAATATTGACTTTCTCCACTCCCTTAACACAGTGTGGACACCCTTACTAACTTTTAGAACTCCACATCCACCGGTATACCTTGTACCTTTTAGATTCACGAGTACTCAACGAGATTATATTTCTGTTTATATTTGGAAAATGTCGAACCTGGCAAGTATCCTAACCATCCTCATCAAACATCTTGATTTTAACATTACTAATCCCAACTATTTTATAAGGCTCATTATTTTTCATCATCACGGAACCCCTTTCATCTATTTCATATGAAGAAAATTAACCTCGGTTTGTATGAAAAGAGCAAGAGAAATCAAGAATCCAATCCTCATCAGGTTTGGAGTTGCCATCAGTATTTGCTGAAAGATCTTCATCATTCCAATTTTCTTCTGGAAGGTTGGCATCATCGGGATTTCCTGATTATCCCTTTTGATCTGTAGTAGCAAACTTGTTCCACGACTTATAGCAATCTCTCTTCATGTTCCCCTTGTTGCATACTAACAGACTATATTACTATTGCTATCCTTGATACTGCCCTTCAACGACCACCTGTCTTTTTCTCACGAATAACAAGACCCTTTGTCTAATCCTCAGATTTGACGATCAGATGCTTCATCTTTTCTTTGGAATAAAGCACACCATATACCTTGTCAATAGTAAGAGTATCTCGACTATAGAAAATGGTATCTCTAGAAGTCACACATGAAGGCGACAATGAACACAACAATATCAGCCCTAAGTCTTCTTCGTCATACTCGATCTTAAACACCGAAGATGATCTTGCAGAGATCCACCTTCCATCAAGAGATGAGAATGCAATTGTTGCTTCAAGTGTAACTTACTTCTCAAGCTCTTTGTCATACAAAGCTACTCCAATTTTAATCACAATCCAGAGACATTTTTCTCATTTACCATGTTTTGAAGAATTTGATTAAAAACCTGAAGATGTATCTGTGATAGGCTTTCCGATCTATCTGTTGCTTTTCTTCTGCAGTCATTGTTGCGAGCATTCTATCTAGCCCCAACAAAGCATCGTCAAGATCCAATTAAGCAAGAACTGCTCACATCTTGATCTACTACAAAGAGAATCTATTGTTGCGATCCTAAAGAAGAATATCAAATTTCATAGTTTTTATCCCTGAAACAATTGACCTTGTTTTAACCTCGCTTTAACTTCCAATTTGGACCTCCCAAGAACTAGTCAAAATAAGAACTTTAGCTCTAATACCATTCAGTATAATTCAGACCAGACCTAAAATCATTTTGTTGAAACTGGAGTAGCCATGATACAACTTTGTTGAAAATTAGGCCAAATAATTAAAGAATGGGAAAATATAGACAATGTGAAAATAATGGATCACACGACAAATAAGACTTTTTGTGGAAGAAGAGGATTATTTATTATACCAAGAAACTAAAATTGTATTTACAAGATTTAATTCTCTTAATCTAAATCTAAACAATTCTCTCAAATTTTTAATGTGTAGAACAATGATCTAATTATTATGTTGAGTTTTCTGGATGACTCTCAAAGTCAATCAAGTAAATAGGTGTAATGCCTCACATTTATAATACAAGAGTCCTTAACATACTAGAAGAATTAATACATGAAAAGTTTCATATAATGTGAAGTCTCAATACAATAGGTAAAGCCAATAATGGAGTATTCGAGATGAAATCGGAGTCACAATCTGCTAGAAAAAGAGGAATCGTTCTCCTCATCCTTCTTGAACTCTTTCAAAATTTCTTCAAGTCGATTACCAACTCCCAGTACTATTTGAACAATATTTTCAATCAAAATACTCATTAAAATTTGAGTCAAAATCTAAAAGTGAGTTGATAAGAACAAGAATAAGGAAAGACTAGTCTTTTCTCATATTTTTAGTCTCCAATAAATTTATACACAGATCCCCGTGTAAATGCCATCCACTAACCCAGCATTGCTTGCTGAAATTCATTCTTTTTGTTTAGATTAACTTTAAAGAGTCTCAGTTCTGAGAAGAGGGGAGAAGAGTTTTCTTGTAAAGAATGTTTTTCTACTTCTCATGAGACTTCTGCAGAAGAGATAGATACATACACACACGCACACACAGATAGAGAGAGAGAGAGAGAGAGAGAGAGAGAGAGAGTGACTGAGGAAGATGAAGTCCATGAATGATGATAATGATAACTGTTTTGGTTACACGAAAACGGAAGCTTCTTCTGCTGTCTGTGACAGTGGATTTCACTCATCTTTCTCAGTGATGCCTCTCAAATCGGACGGTTCCCGTTGCATCATGAAACCCCTCTCTACATCACACAATCAAGGTTAGCTTCCTTTTGCTCCCCATTATACATTTCCCAGAACTGTTCACTAAATATGTACTATTTGGCATTTTTATTAACATATCAATTTATCTTTCCTTTCTATAATGGAGTCATGGTGCCAAATTTTACTCCAAGACTGGAGGATTTCTTGGGTGGTGCAAGTCATCCATATGGAAGCCATGAAACAGAAGCCATGGTTCTCAGTTTAGACAGCATGTATTATAATCAAGAACCCTTTAAGCAACAAATAGGAGAAGAAATTAATCGAGTTCAACAGTATTATTCTGCACAAGGGATTCAGTATCATGGTACGTACGCGACAACAAATGAACAACAACCCAACAAGGAAACTCTAGCTCCACCAATGTCTGAGACTGAGAGTGAAATGCCATGTTTGAAAACCTGGGTTTCACTTGAACAGCAGGTGAATCCGAGCATGGTTGGTGTTGGTGTAGAATCATTGAGCTTGTCAATGAGTCCTGCTTCTCAGTCAAGTTGTGTAACTGCTTCAAGACAAATTTCACCCATTGAGACTCGAGTTTTTGGCATGGAAAGCAGGAAAAGAGTAGCTGAGAAAGCGGCATCAAAACCAAAACTTCATAGGAAATCCATTGATAACTTTGGTCAAAGAACATCACAATATAGAGGTGTAACCAGGTCAGTAGTCTACATTTCTTTCTTAAGATTCCTTTTTCATCATCACTGATGACTTAGTAGTCTATTTAAGTTTGTTCCAGTGTTTTCTAGGTTGATCCTGAGTTCTTTTAGTGTCTTAATTTCATCGTTCTTTGAATTCTTTTGTCTTTTCACAAAGTAGCCCACGTATATTCTCACCAGTCTGGTTTTGAACAACACAAAATTTTAAAAATGAATAAGTATGTCATTTCTCTTTAATTTTTATTATTCAGATATAGCATCTAGAATCAAGTAATTTTGATACAAGAAATAATCTGGGCTGCCGAGTTTAATTGATATATTCCAAATTTTCTTTTCCAGACATCGGTGGACAGGTAGGTATGAAGCACATTTATGGGATAACAGTTGCAAGAAAGAGGGCCAGACTAGGAAAGGAAAGCAAGGTAGCTAATTATTCCTTTGGATTATTTTTTATTTTTATTTTTATTTTTTAATTTTTTCTTTAAGACTGACCATGTTTTCATTATCTAACTTGTTATGTTTTCTTGACATGTTCTGGATATTCATCGAATATTTCAGTTTATCTTGGTAAGATTATAGTTTTTTAATGAGGCTATTAAATTATTAGTTATATTAAGCAAAATTATTTGAATTTTCAAACTCATCATAATGAACACATTTCAGGAGGTTATGATATGGAAGAAAAAGCCGCAAGAGCATACGATCTTGCTGCACTTAAGTACTGGGGACCTTCAACACATACCAACTTTCCGGTACATAGACATTTTTCCTTATCATTTTTGTTTTTTTTTTCTCAGCGTTTGTTTGCAACAACTTATTTTAAATTTATTCTTTTTTCAAACTCATTTGCAACAACAAACGTTCTCCAATTTTCGCCGCCAGGATGAATTTCTCGTTGCTTTTGCAGTTGGAAAACTACAAGAACGAAGTTGTACAGATGGAAAATATGAGCAGACAGGAATTTGTGGCACATTTGAGAAGGTGAACTAATCGAATGCAAAGGAAAAAAAATGATCAAAGAAAAAACTCTGTTAGATGCCTTTATTTCCTGATTTTTACAGTTTTACTTGTTGGATTGAACCTTACACTTGGGTTTTCATTTTCAGGAAAAGTAGTGGATTTTCAAGAGGAATTTCGTTGTATAGAGGAGTAACAAGGTTCATTTGAAGTTCCTTCAATGTTCATAACATATTCTTCTGTGCAATTACACAGGCTTTTTAACTAAAACTTGGGTTTTCCCATGCTTATAGGCATCATCAGCATGGACGATGGCAGGCTAGGATTGGCCGGGTTGCTGGGAACAAAGACCTCTATCTTGGAACTTTCAGTAAGTTACAAAATTTTAACTTCTTTTTATCTCCATACCTTGTTAAATAATTCAAAAATCTGATTATGGCAGGGTTGTGTCCTTTTCTGTTCTTGTGCTTCACTTTTTCGAGCCACTAGTGTTAAGGCTGATTGAAAAGCTACTTAGCCCTTTTTGATGAAAATTAAAATTAAAAAATTTAATTCAAGTCAATGTCAATAATTAATTTTAAGTTTAATTACATATTTTATGAGGATTCATAATTTTTCAATCATGCATTTCATTAACTTGTATCAAAATCTATTAAGGGTCTATTTGATATGACTTTTGCTTTTATTTCATGTAGAAGAGCTTTTGGAGGAAGTTCTAATTTTTGTTTGAAAACTAATTTTGAAATGAGCTTTTCTATCCTGAAAGTGTTTTTAGAAAATTGGACCATCTTTCTGTAAAAACTCTTCTAACCAAAAGAAATATTTTCATAAATTAGCCAAACGGTCCAAAAACAGCTTTGGGGGTATCCATCGTTAAAATTCTTGATTTAAGTAAAAATTGTGTTCGGGGAAGTTAATTTTTGTGTCCGAATTCAGGCACGCAGGAGGAAGCGGCGGAAGCATATGATATTGCTGCAATCAAGTTCCGGGGCGTAAATGCTGTCACAAATTTCGATATATCGAGATACAATGTGGAAAAAATCATGGCAACTGATACTCTTCCTGCTAGAGAATTCGCACGGCAAAACAAGGAGACGGAATCTTACAAAACAGTAGGTCCGGAAGACGAGGAATGTCGTCTGGTTGAGAATGTTGGAAATGTTACTAATTGGAAAATGGTGGAAAATGGTTCTATCGAATCACTTGGAGAGAAAACTATGAATTATCAAAGTTCGACTTGCTCAGGAGCTCTGCAAGATCTGATTGGGATTGAATCAGCCAATCCTCGAAGACAAAACTTTACGCGTCCATTGTCTTTAGTTACTGGTTCGAAGGAAACAAGCCCGGATAAAACAGGAGAGGCTGTTTTCTTTGCAAGGCCTACCTTGGCAAGTAATTACATCAACCCGTCGACCAATGTCAATTCCTGGATCCCCATGGCTAACTTGCCGGTTTTTGCTTCTTGGAACGATGCCTGACATGTCAATTTATCTTGGTAAAAGTAATCTTTCTCGATGAATTCTGATACCCTGGCTCTTTAAGAATTCCAAAGATCCCTTTCTAGTTTGAATAGTTTTAGAAGAAAAAGAAAAAAAAATGTAGAATTTATTTGCTTTTCTTTAAAGTACTGGTTTATCTGTCTCTGATTGAATGTTATCGAATCTTTTCCTAACTCAAAATCAATCTTTTTTCTTTAATCAAATTGGGATCGAAGTTTTTGCCAAATGGAGGAAATGTTCATGATTGACTGGTGCATGTGATTGAATCTACGCTATTATTTCTGTCAAGTACAGAAACAGCTCATGTTTCCCAATAATGCAAATGTCTCCTCAATGTGTGATTCAAGATATATATATATATATATCATTTACCTTTTTGTGAAAACTCGTACAAGCGCACATTAAGGATAAATTTCACATTGAATAAACATAAAAATTTAGACCAATATATGAAGATCTTCTAATAATGGAATCCTTAGTACCACGACGGTAAAAAATTTCACCTTGAAAGGCATATTATTGAGTAATTATCATCGAGTAAATGAAAAATCGAATGATTTTTTTCCTTTTTTTTTTTAATTTTTTTGTATCATTCACGTGCATCACATCAGCTAAATGAAAGAATAATTGACATAAAGTCAGTATTGTTCAAAATTGAAATGGACCCACGAGGGGAAAAAGGCTAAACTTCTTGATATTCAACTCAATATATAATCATCATGTTCCATTCTTGTCAATGACCACAATGTGGACAACCTTGAGTTTTATATATTGTTCAAAGTTAAAGATAATCGGCTGGCTAAAATTTTGGTATCGGTTGTTAGCTAACCAACCCAGTTTTAAGGTCCATTTTTGTTAGCTAAGTGATTAGCGAGGACGTAGTTGACGTCGAAAATCACTGATGTTTAATGTTGTTTATTCAAATTGATTTGAAAAAAAAAAAAAGGAAAAAAAGCAATATACGTATAAGATAGACAACACTAGAATTCCCTAAGGAATGCTAGTTCACGTGAGTAACTATAAAATCATATAAGTATGACTATAGATGATGAATAAGTGAGTGTTATGTCTATTGAATGATTTATACTTTCTCAAGATATATTTTTGAGATATGCCTGTTGAAATGGTTAGACGGATACAATTTAGATAAAATTGCTATTTTCTATGGTTTTTGGGACATTTGTGTTAGTGCTTGCTCTTAAATGGACGTTAGGTGCCAGCTAAGGGTTTTGCCATTTAAACAGGGCTAATGACATGCCAACACCTTGGCCCTTGGTTGTTAAGCTGCGGATCCCATGAAATTCAAGATCAAGGGCCAAGGTATAGCAACCACCTTGGCCTGAATTTAAACACGAGGATTCAATCCTGAGTTTTGTAGCAGGGCTCGCCAGCTAAATGTGGTCTCATGCCAACATGTCTCCAAGAATTGGTCCAGAAACATCTTTTGAAAATGACAATGGATAACACAATTGTACCCACGAAAAAGATGGGAGAATTGCATGGTTTAAAAATTTCAAAGAATTAGGTGAAAAATTAATTATAACATAGGTTCCCTGCAGGGTAACTTGTTTCCTACCATGCAACTGTCCATATATTTTCCACACTAATAGGCCCCACCTCATTGAACTATCACTACCCAACGTTCCACCTCACGTGAACACCTACGACATCGTTATAATGTACGAAAAAACTGTACTATTTGTCTCTTCATATATCATTGTATTATACGGTCGATATTTGACGGTTAAAAAGTAAAAAAATGTTGTTTGTACAGCATGTTTTTTGACAGCAATTTTCACACTTACTCACAAAGGTGGGGTTCACGATTATTTTAATTGTGGACCCCACCCACTTGAAAAAAGATGTAAAAATTGATGTAAGTGTAAAATGGTTCTAAAAAGAAACGAGTTGATTTTTGATCTTTTAATATAGTTACATAATTAATCGTTCAAAATTTAATTAAATGATCATGCATCCCCTTGCATATCCAAATTTCAATTAAACTGATATTGTTATGAGAAAATGTTTAAGGTGGTCTATAATAATTGGTCAAACTTGCTTTATATAAATTCCAAAAAATTGTCAAACATGAAATAGCTAATTTTTTAATTTTTTTAAGCCAAAGGGTGGAAAATAAGCACCAAAGTTCATACTTAATTAGCATTTTTTACCATTAAAAGTACCATTTTAAGCCAAAGGGTGGAAAATAAGCACCAAGGTTTATACTTAATTAGCATTTTTTCACCATTAAAAGTACCATTTTACCCTTACTTTTTGTATATAAAAAGTAGCCTTTTGTATTGCAAAAGTCAAAAAGCGTTGTTTTTACTTATAAGATGCCAAAAGCGTTTTTTTTTTTTTTAAATTTTCTTTTTTTTTTTTTTTTTTTTGCTATCTACTTTTAAGTCATCCTAAACAAGCTAATTTTTCAACTATAATAAACGATTGTTAACAATTTTCCCCTTTAAGATTACTTATTTTTTGATAGAAAAATACTAATTAATTTGAATAAAAATTAACTTATGTTGAAACTTGTATGCGGAGCTGACAATCCAGTAAAAGTGAGTAAAGCAGTCAGCATCTAAGAATCTATCTTCAAATCTTTTTCATAAAACCAGCTTCATGGCAATTGGCATGCATGACGCTCCAGCAGTAGAGCTTTGACAGCTGTAGGTGGCGTTTGATAACATCACACAAACCCAAAACCCCCGTGTTTTGTTTATGTTTTGACCCTGCGTGCTTGGCCAAGCTTACAAGTTTACTTACAATTAATTAAGTTTCAATCAAAATAATAATTCTTAATTAGTTAAAATTAAAAATAAATAAATAAATAACTAATTTTAAAAGTAAACTTACTCTATTATCAAAATTTACGGCAAAAGTATACATTATATGCATATATATCTGATTCATTTTCTTTTTGGTGTTTTTCGTATTTTTTTTTGTTCATTGTGTAACGAAGAAATTAAACTTATTTTACGTATTAATATGCAAATTGTGGGTAAATTTTGATGTTTATATTCACATAATATAATTCTTTTTAGTTTCATTTAATTTTGATGCTTTTTGTATATTTCTACGTGGAAATTACTAAAATAGTTAACTTTTGCCTTTTCATTTACAAAAATATCAATTTTTTAAACTCATTACAAAATTGTCAAATTTGGTCTTTTCCCCCTCTTACTAATTTCAATCCCTTCTATGTTCTTGATTAAATATGACATGACTAGACTCCAAATTGTACAAAATCTGTAAAATGTCAGGGTACTTGGAAATTGAAAAAAAAAAGAAAAGAAAGAAAGAAACAAAACTGGTGAAAAAGGAAGGTGAAATGATCAAACCAAACGAAGAAGAAGAAACCAATGTTGAAACACATTTCATTCTCTCACACATTATCCTCTCACTAGAATCGTCCCCTCTCTCGCACTTTTCCTTCTTTCACCATCGACAAAGATCAAAAGCACTCTCATGTGTCGTACGAACCAGCGAAAGGCGAGACTCTCCTTTGGCATTTGAATCGTCCAATACCCAGCCATCGACGACAGCCATCAATCACTTCACTGTCGACGAAGATCGTCACTAATTTGTTCAGGCTAGTGTTTTCTTCATTTTTTGCATTTTTTTTTTTTTGAAGAAGAGGAAATTTTTGTACAGTGTCGGCCAGCGGAGCCACATTTGGGCAAGGGTGGTCAATGACCACCCAAAAGTTTTGAGATTTTTAATTTATTTAATTATTATTTATTTTTATTTTTTTGCAACCAGTAAGGCAACTTATGATGCCAACTTGTTGCATTAGCTGAGTTCAGTCCATATTCTGATGGCATAAAACAGTCGCAATGATGGTCCATGGCTGAGAGTTAAGTCAGTTCGCCGAGTGGTTGAACTACTGGAGAATTTGGCTTAGTGGTACTCTGAAAAATGATTGTAACAACTCCGGCAATTGAAATGTCATTTGCATAGGTAAATTTGTTTAAACTTTGGCGGCAACAATCAAAGATTGTGTTGTCTTTCATTGAAAATCCATTTAAAATAGTGTACAGAAATTGATATCTTATCAAGGAAACTCACATCCTAAGTAATGAATATCTATTATCAATACCAACATACTGGAAATGAAATTAAACATTCTCTTGGTGAGGCACATTCTTCATTTAAAATATCGATCATGAGCTCACCCCAGTACTAGATTCAAATTTAGGTTCAGAATCAGATTCAGATTCATTCGAGTTGTGATTATATTTTGTAGTATTATAGCATAGAAGAAAAAGAGAGCATAATGAGATTCTTGGATTTAAACATTTTCTGTAGAAGGATATAAGAAAATAAGAGTTGAAGTAGATCAACTCTCTGTGAATTTTAGAGATAGATAATAAGTTTGGACCAACAACTTTTATATAATAGCTGATAGCGTAAACATTATCGTTTTGTAAAAGATAGCAATAAGAAAAGCTTTCAATGAAGCTATTTAATGGACAATTTCATCAAAGAGAAAGAAAATGAAATATGTATAGAAACAGCACCGACCTTGTTTTTCAGAGTTTGCATGCTGCCAACCTGAATCTTTCCAAAATCTTGATGGGGGACAAGATTCAAGATTTTAATCAAACAAGGACAAATATAAGTTGAGAATAAATATATTAATATTATTTATAATTATTTTTTGCAGATAATTTTTGCCCACCCAAATAAAATATCTTGGCTACACGTGGACCACAGATCGGTCATGGTGGGTCACGTGATCCACCAATTTTTTGAGAACTTTTTTTTTCTTTAGTTGAAGGCATGATATTTTATTAATTCTCGTCCACTCTACACGTGAGCACTATGTTGATGAGGC